GAATCAATGTAAATTGAGGGTAAATTCGTTTTAGGTTTTGGTGGAAAAGGAACAGAAGACGGTCAATTTTCCAGCCCAACCGATATCGCCATAGATCCGAGTGATAATATCATAATTTGTGATAATGAGAACAATCGTGTTCAAATATTCGACAAGCAAGGAAAGTTTTTGAGAAAGTTCTCAGTGCCTAAACCATACGGTGTCACTTTTGATGCCAAGGAGGGTGTAATCCTTGTTACTAGTGATGATCATTGTGTGTATGCCTTTGATAAGTCTGGAACTGAGGTTGGAAAGTTTGGTTCAAAGGGAGCAGAGTATGGTCATTTCAGTTATCCAACTGGTATTATTGTTTCAGAGACCAAGTCTCAAATACCTGGTAAAATTATTGTATGTGACCATCATAATCACAGAATTCAAATGTTTGACAAGTATGGCTCATTCCTCAAATCCTTTGGAACTAATGGTACTAATCCAGAAATGGAAGGAGGTTATTTCTATGGACCTAACAGTTTGGATATTGACATTGATGGTAATTTGGTAATCACTGATAGATACAATTGTAGAGTCCAAGTTTTTACATTGGATGGTACCTTTGTTAGAAAATTCTCTGTCAAGAAACAAGAAAATTCTGAATGTGATCCAACTGGTATTTGTTGTTTGAAGAAAAATATTGGTCTCAATTATGCAGCCATTTGCGATTATGCAAATAATAGAATTCAAATTTGGAACTTGAGAGAGGGTGCAATTATCAAACAATTTGGATGTTATGGTTCTGAAGATGGACAATTCGATGGACCTAATGGAGTTTCAATCACAAGTGAAGGTCATCTCGTTGTAGTAGATTATCACAATCATCGTGTACAAATATTTAAATAATTATTTATTTTTAAACCCAGTTAGTTTACTTTTTGGAAATTGTTTTATTGTTGAAACTTTCAGGACTTCCTTAGTACTTCCTATAGGAAACTTTTGATTGTAAGAAAATAATTGCATGAAAATATCATGATTACAAAGTAATGGTCAATCTAAAGGAATGAGTAGATCATAAAAGCATTCAGAGATTCCAAGATTAGAACTCTCTCAACTTATTCAGCTTAAGTTTTAACAGTTTCTCCTTTCCAATTTGAAAAATTAAAAAGATTTTCCAACACCTTGCTATGTAACCGTAAAATCACACCCTTAAATTTTCAAGAGGTCAACACAATTCAAAACCCTAACCAACCTCAATTTGTACAAATTTGTTAGTTCGCACTTTTGCAAAATTGTCAAATTTCTGCCGTCAACCAAAAAAACGGCCGACAATTTTCGACCATCATCAA